GGTCAGTCGCCTCCACCGGGAAGAGTGTGAAGATAGTCGTGAGTCGCAGGAGGAAGGGGGCACCGCTCCCGACGCCCAGCCTGACGCCCTACCCAACACTAGCTGAGGCCGTGCCCGACGCCCAATCCCACGGCCAGCTCCTCGGCCAGCCCGACGGCCAACCCGACGGCCTGCCCGACAGTGAAGCCGCCCTCCAGACGGCACTGGGAAGTTCCACTGCGCCCACACGTCAGCTTTCCCCTGACGAGCGGGACAGCGATGCCATCCTTCAGCTGGTTTCGAGGAGCCCTTGCGCTCCCATTCGTCCTTCCTCCCCTGCCGGCGACTCGATGCGGACGGGCGCCTCGACTAGCAGCCACGGGGCAACCCCTGCATCCCTGCAGAGCTCGCCAGACCCCCCCTCTTGGGTGGGGGCGTGAGTTCGACCGCCGAGACGGGCCGGCAGCCCAATTGGGGGGCATCGTCGACGTGTCGGACGGGAAGTGGGTGAATGCCCAGGCTGTTCGCCGATCGCCAGCATCCAGGTCCACGGGGCTCCCACACTGGAAGGCCGCTCTATAAAGCCCGGGTCCACGACTCCCAGTGGGAACCCCGCGGAGTGTCACCAAACGAGACGATCAGGTACCTTCAGGTCACCCTGGGTGCGTCCTTCACAGCCGTCTGGCACACCTTTGCCGAGCATCGCGCTGCCCCTGGCCCCGCGCGCGCTGTCGACCCGCGTCGGCGCGATCAGCGAACCTGCGTCGCCTTCCTGACCTCATTTCACAGCCACAGCTGCGATGCTCGGGCCATGAGCGACTCAATGGGCCTGGGTACCGACTGGGCGCACTTGCGTGGACAACACCTGGGACGCCGCGTCGGCGCGAACAGGGGGCGCCAGGCACCCTTGCGAGATGGCCGGGATCTCGTGGGCGCAGAGACTGGCCGTTCGTTGTAGGCTGGGAACGTTCTCGTGCGAGGTCGGGCCCTTGACGTCGGAGGCGCGGCCGTCTGCCTCCACCCCCGCTTCGTCGGCGTCTGCGTGCCGTGTTCACCCTGCCAGAATCAGAGCGCATGGCGTGCGCGTCCGTGTGCACAGGGTTATGATCAGCTCTTCCCCCTCCTCTCACTCTGTGAGACTGGCGTGCACTTCCCTCCCTCCCCTCCTGCATCCTGATGCTGCAGCGGTTAGCCCATGATTCCTCGAGATGCGACGGTTACTCGCCTACGGCGGGAAGATTGCGCAAGGGTCGCCTCCGCGGGGAACAGCGCGAAGATAGTCGCGAATCGCAGGAGGAGGAGCAGGAAGATGACAGGGAAGACCTTGCCGTCCAACACAACCCGCTGGCAACGCGACCTCTTGGCACGCCCCGCCGCCTCGGATTCCAACGGATTCTGCGACGGTCAGTCGCCGCTACCTGGAAGAATGCGATGATAGTCGCGAGTCGCACGGTGAGGGGCAGGGGGATACAGAGAGGACTTTGCCGACCGTCCAACGCAACCCGCTGGCAACACGACCCCTGGGAACACCCATCCTCTTCGGATTCCAACAGTCTCTGCGATGGTCGTTCGCCTACACCGGGAAGAGTGCGACATGGGTTGCGAGCCGCAGGAAAAGGGGCAGGGAGCAGTCAGAGAGGACCTTGCCGACCGTCCAACACAACCCACTGGCAGTGTGACCTCTGGGCGCACCCAGCCGCCACGGATTCTAATGGCCTCTGCGACGGTCAGTCGCTTCCACCGGGAAGAGTGTGAAGAAGTCGCGAGTCGCAGGGTGAGGGGCAGGGAGAAGACAGAGAGAACCTTGCTGACCGTCCAACGCAACCCACTGGCAACACGACCCCTGGGAACACCCAGCCGCCTCGGATTCCAACGGATTCTGCGATGGTAGTCACCTACACCGGGAAGAGTGCGAACTGGGTCGCGAGCCGCAGGAGAAGCGGCAGGGAGAAGACAGAGAGGACCTTGCCGACCGTCCAACACAATCCACTGGCGACATGACCATTGGGAACACCCATCCGCCCCGGATTCCAACAGACATTGCGACGGTCAATCGCTTCCAGTGGGAAGAGTGTGAAGATAGTCGCGAGTCGCAGGAGGAAGGGGGGCCCACCGCTGCGGAGGAGCTTTGTTGGCACAGTCAGGGTTGGCATAGGTGGGGTTTGCACAATCACGGTTGGCATAGTCAGCGCGGTCGGAAATGGCACAGCCACTGGCGTAGTCAGCAACAACTGCTCGAGTAAATGTTCTACCGTTCTCCTCCTCTCCTCACGCGCCGTGTGCCTGGCGTGCACTTCCTTTCCTCCCCTCATGCATCCTAGTGCTGCAGCGGTTAGCTGCCGCACCGGGGTGCCCACCGTGCCTGGCGTGCACTTCCCATCCTCTCCTTTGTTTCACCGGGTTTATCCCACGCGGGTGGGGTTGCCGCCTTACCGCTGTCTGATGGTGTTCTGACAGCCTGAGTTCCATACAAGGATCTCACTGGGGATGGGCGGTCAGGTGGCCCCTGGCCTGCTCCTGG